TGCCCACCCCCTCCAGAATCCACACTGAGGCAGACAGTTGTCCTTTCCCTCCTCCATCACAGCAAGACAGACTCCACTGCGCTGAAACACGAGAGCCTGATCAACAGAGGACTCCTAACAACATTCTGCTGTCCTCAGAGGTCAGTGCTTTATCTAGTCATCAGAGATGCTTCCTCTTGCAGCAGACTTAGAAGCAGACACCCACAGCCAGACATTACATTGAGAGAGAGACAGGCAGACAGACAAAGAGCCTAAAACACACAGCTCTAAATGGGATGTCTCCATGAAATCCCTCTCCTCAAAGCTCAGGGACCACCATGGAAAAGAGGTGGAAAGAGTAGAGCAGCCAGAGGGGTGGAGGACACCAGGAGAACAAGGCCCTCTGGATCGACTGAGCAAGGCTCATATGAACGCACAGAGACTGAAGCAGCAAGAACAAACGCATACACGGGTCTGCCCCAGGTCCTCTGTTGACCCAGCTTTCAGCTTAGTATTTTTATGGGACTCCTGAATGTGTGAACGAGTGGGTCCCTGATTTCTCAGATTCTTGTGTCCACTGTTAAGGCTCTGTTTCTTCTGTTGGGTTGCCTCATCCAATTTAGATGTGATGGGTTTTGTCTTATTTATTTATTTATTTATTTATTTATTTATTTATTTATTTTTGTCATGCTTGGTAGTTATCTCTTAGAACAGGGACCTATTCTTTTCTAATGAGAGACAGAAAGGGAGTGGATCTGGATGGGAGGGGCAGCAGGGAGGAACTGAGTAAGGGAAAACTGTACGTGGGATATAGTGTATGAGAGAGGAATCTATTTTCAATAAAAGAAATAAAGAACAAGACAGGAACTTGAACTAGGCAATGGCTTCTATCTGGGAAGGAGTTATTAGCAACAGAGAAGGAGCTCCAGTAGGGAAAAGGCTTTCTTTGCAGGAAAAAAAATGACAAAGTTTATTACCAGGAAAGCATGGGAAAACAGTGGCTTGGCAAATGGCTCATCTTTTGGAAAACTTCCTGGTGGGTGAAGGCCAAGGTGGCAGCTGCTCCTTGGCCTATGCTGGTAAGGTCTTCCTGGGGCCATAAGCTTTCTGGGCAGCAACACCGGGCTGCCGTTTGTCTCCAATTTCTCTGTACTTGAATGGATGGTCCTGTCTCTGGGAGATGGTATGGGCACCACAGCCCATTCTGTACTTCACTCTGTTAAGCTCTGGGTCACAGGCTGTTTCAGTAGCAATGCCCGATTGCTGTCCCTCTCCAATTTCCCTATCCCTGTTTTGCCCAGGACTACACGGTTGGTCACAGACTATTCCTTTCTTCTGTCTGTTTTGCTGTTGAGCAGAGGTTCTCTGGGCATGGAAATTCAACTGAGGGTCGACTCCCCCATTTAGGAGCGGATGGTTTTGAGCCTCGGGGCTGGTGTGGCCATAGCTCATTTTGCTCTCTGGTCTGTTACTCCTGTCACAGAGACCCTCACAGGAGTGGGTTGAGCAGCCCAAGTGGGATGTCAGTGCTTCCAGTTTACACCATTGTTCCTTTGATGGGTCCTCTAACTTAAGGCCCAGCCAGTTCAGCAGGATCTGTACCACAATATCCGTGAGGTTTTGCACATCAGCCGGCATACTGCAGAAGAGCTTTTCTCCTGTGACTGCCTCCTGTGTTTGCACAGTAGACGATGGGGGCCCTTCATTCTTCAGAGGATGCCCCTGCTCCTTATCTTCTGTGCTGAGGCTTAGGTATTGAAGAATATTCTTTATGATTTCCTTCAGACAGCTTTCTGTCAGAGCCTGTAACTTTCCTGGCATATCAGGGGAGGACTGACTATCAGCTGAGGCTATATTGTCTAGCTGGGTGGAGGTGTCGATGACACAGGCTTGGGAGGTCTGAGTGCTCTCGAGCATTTCTCCCTGGCTTTTGGCTCTGTCTCTCATACATTCTGTCCTCTCTCCATCAGGATGACACACCTTGGGAGCCTTTTCTGGAGTCTTATCCTGGGAGACCCTGAGCTCCCGAGTCTCCTGGCTGTGATCTGTCCTCATGAACACATCACCGAAGCCCTGGGGAGTCTGGAGATGATTTGGGGATCTATTCTCGGATCTGGGCAGTGAGTCTTCTGAAGGCAAGCTGACTGTGGCAGGGTACACAGGACCTTGGCCTTCTGGAAGGAACCCAGCAAAGCACAACTGTGGCTGCTCGTTTAACTGGAAATCATCCCCACTAAGCACCTGTGGGTTTAGAGCTGAGTGGATTGAGTGCTGTGGACTAGGTGTTTGGAAATGGCCTGGGCTTCTGTTGGCCTCAGCATGCTCAAAGCCCCCAGTGTTGAGGGCTGGGCTAAGGGGAATCTCCCTGGATCCCAGATTCACTTGCCATGCAGGATGTGCCTTGTCTTTCACCTCTAGTGTGATACTTTGCTTGACAATAAAAGATGGGAGCCTTTCTTGAGGGCCCCCCATTGTCCCACTCTGGCAGGGATGCCCTGAGGCCACCTTCTCAGACCTCTGCCATTCTGCATGGTTGGCCTTTCTTGGGCTGGTAGTTGGTTGCAGGCTGCATCTTCCAGTCCCTTGGATGGCGCTGCCCTGCTGGGTTTTTGCCTGGAGGCACAGATCAGAGCCCCAAACACCCAGGTGTCTCTCTTGTGCATCTGGATGGGCCTTTGGGGGCCCATGGCTGGCAGCAGGTGGAGGGGCCCTTTGGGTCTCCCAAAGCTCTGAAGGCCAGTGTGCAAATGGAGGGCCCTGCAGCCTCGTAGATGATACAGTTCCTACCCTTGTCCCTCCCGGGTCTCGGTGATGCAGTTTTTCCAGGATGATGGCAGCCTTGGAATAGTATTCAGCTCTCGATGCACAGGCCGGTGAGGAGGGGCACACAGGCTGGGGAAGGGATGAGGCCGGAACCCCCAGTGGGGTGAGACCCTTTGGCTCACGAGCCTGTGCTCTCTTTCTGTGTTTCAAGGGAAGCTGAGCGATGTTTGACTCCAGCTTCATCTGAGTCTTTGGGTCGAGGAAGTAAAGGTTCTGGGTGGTGTTCACATAGGACAGCTGCTCTATCCTCAGTGAAGGGGTTCCGGGTTCTAGGTCCTCCTCAAGGGTGTTGCTTGAAGTGGAAGGCAGGTCTTTGGCTCCAACACTGAGGGCCTCCTTGATGTGATCATGGGTATTACATTTTGCTGGGCCCTTCTTTAAGGGCGTCCGTGAGGGCACAGACCCCGTCATTGGGCTCAACTTGCAGCTTCTGGAGTCAAGGATAGAGGATTTGGCAGGCTGGGAGAGGTCAGGCCTGTTCCTGGACTGGGAAGGACTGTTTGCTAGGAAAGCCTTCTGAAGCTTCCTTATCTCCCTGGATGGGCGGAATCTAAAGGGGGCTCCTCTTTTTTGTCTCATCTTAGTCACCCTGTCTTCAATCTGTGGCTCCTCCTGGTGCTGGAGGACCTGACACTGCTCAGGAAGGATGGAGGCTGACCTGGCAGCTTCAGTGGGTGAGATGCCCCTGGGAAAGATGTGAGATGGCTGGGTAACAGCTGCTTGACATTTTTGGAGGTTAGTATCTACAGTTCCTTTCCAATTCAGTCCCTGCTGCCAGTTGGGCCTTTCAGTTGGAAGGGATGCTTGCATCCTTGTCTCAGTTGTAGGACATGCAGTTCCACAGGTCCTACTTTGGGAGGAAGAGAGTGTTTGGTTTGGTGTGGAGCTTAGGTGGTTGTCTAGTCCCTGGCCTTGTGTCCCTTGTAGCAAGCTTGGTGCCACATGTTGGTGGGGCAATGGCTGAGCCTGGGAAACCTGTGGAGGTCCTTGAGCCAGAGGCAGAGGTGGGAAAGTGTCAGATGTATCCCTGAACTTCACAGTTTTAAGTGCTTCAGAGGAAGGTGTCTTGGAAACCAAGGCAGTAGCCACCACTGACTCAGAGAACACAGAGGACATGCCCCAGAAAAGCTGGCTAAATTTCTGCTGTATAAGATCTTCCAAGACTTTAGAGTAGGACAGCAGCTGAGAGAGAGGAAGGTGATCCATCTTCTCTTTAGAGTTCCAAAAGGCATGAGGTGTGGAGTCCAGTAAAGGATGCTCGGTGGGGCTGCAGAAGACACGAGGCAAAAGCATCAGCCCCAGGCAGAGGGTCAAGCTGCCCATCAGTCTGTGCAAATGTGGCCCCTGTATCCCACATCCCCCCCACTGCCTCTACATCCCGTATCCCTTAGTGTCCCATCTAACAGGGATGCATTTCAGTCCCACCCTACACAGCGTCTGCTGTAAGAAGACCTCTGGCCCCTGAGCTCATAAGAGATCTGGTTTGAGTAATTTCACAAGCAGTAGATTCCTTACATTTCAACTGGTCGTGATGCATTGTGGGAATCTGCCAAATTCTTTCTGCCATTTCTACCACCTGGAAATAAAGCTCATGTTATGGAGAATATGCAAAAGGCCTTACATTCCATGGAACTGTAAGAGTGACCCTTCTAGAAACCATCTAGACTAGGACTGTAATGCCCAGTGACCATGCTCCAAAGACACACAACCCTGGAAGTGCGCCCGTGCAATAAAGGGAGACATCTCTCCATTCACACTTTCCTTGCTTCTCCCCCAACCCCTGAAATTCCCGGAGATCACCGTGAGGGACACAAGACTCGTCCTCTGACACAGATGCATCTGGGATCTGCAGCTACCTGGACCCGGGGTCCCCCAGACACTGGCCCAGCATCTCTGCACAGACTTGAGCAAGACTCCCATGGGCAGCACCCATCCCAGGCCATCCCAGCTTCTTTCTGGCACAAACCCCAGGAGTTCCCTGTTCTGCTTTCCTGCGCAGCAGCCCCCTCTTGCTTCTTGGTGTTTTCATCCCATAGCCTGAGAAGCATGGCTCTCATCATGACTCATCACTGAGGGGCGGGGCAGGTGGAATTCCCTCTCCATAGGAAAGCAGAAGCCTACCTTTCACAGCAGCAGTTCTCTTCCTGGTCTTGACCTGTCCCCTCTTCACCACCTGAGAGTGAGAAACAACAAAAATAAGCTGGGCCCCTTCTTCCTCTCTCTGGTAGACAGGCTGCCTGCCCTCTGTGCTCATGTGTATATGAAATCCACATTTCCCAGAGAGCTTCCTCTCATCCTTGACTCTTTAGTGCTGTGCATAAACACATTTGCTTTTGGCCTTGTTGTAGAAACAGAAGAAGAGGATGTCTGTGCCAGAGTTGCCATGATGTCCTCCGTCAGTGTTCCTCAGGCAAGGTCCTACCCAGGCTGGGCTCTGCAGCTGCCTCTGGGCTGTCAGGTGAGATCTGCCTCCTCAGAGCAGAGGTGACATGAGCTCTGATCTGAGACCTTGGGTCTCCTCACCCCCTCTACATCAGCTCACCACAAACAAAAGCATGTGCCTGAGCCGAGGACAGAGGAAGCCTTTCTCAGAGCTTGTCCTGTGTCCCCACCATCTCAGAAATGCTGTCTGCTCACAGAGCCACACTCTTCCTTATTGGCCTCTCTGTCAGCATGTACAGATGGTCTGAGAGCTTCAGACACCTCAGGGCCATTGTCACCTCTGCCCTGCCTGCCAGCCCCTGCAGAATGAGGTGCTGTTCTCTCTGGAGACTCCCTCTCTCCTGTCTGCCTACTTGACCAGAAAATGTGAAAGTAACAATAGTGATCAACACTGCACAACCACACTCAGCACTGTGTCAACCAAGGCGTTCCTCACCTTTGGGGTGTTCTTTTTGCTCCCAAGTGGTGATTCTGGGTAGGTCTTCAGGAATGGGATGAGTAGGATGAAGAGCCCGACTCCGCACATAATGGCAAAGGTCATGTCCGTTGGCACGAACATGGAGCTCAGGCTCATCCTGGAGTCACTAATGCTTTTCAGGGGAAGGAGAGACTTCTCCATCTTCTGAATCTCAGCGCAGTTCTCAGGGCACTGAGAGCTGGGAGTGCAGCATGAGACTTGTCAGGAGGGCTCAGGCCACATCACACAGCTGTGGCCTCCTCATCACAAAGGGCTCCAGGCAGGAGGCAGGTGCCACAGCCCCTCCCCACCCTTCAACCCAGCAGACCCTCCTGCCTCTGCCTTCCCTGCTCCCTCCTCTAAGATCCTTGTGCTGCAACATTAAATAAACCTCCATCCCTGTTTTGTTCTTTCTCCCTGAGCCCCAGAACTTCTCTGCCTCCTGGAAGATGTCTGCTTCTATTGCCAGGAATGGGAGTCTGGAGCCTATGTACTTCTGGTTTTAGAATCCTCTATACTGATTTCCAGCATGCTGTTCCACTTTACACAGCCAATAGCAGTTGCTGAGGGTTTCTTTCATTAGTAGAATTTCTTATTTGTCTTCTTCTCAACCACTGTGGTTGATGTGAGATGGAATCACAAAGGTGCCTTAACCTGAATTTAGTTGTAAGCTAGGAATCTTGAAGACTTCGTAAAATATTTATTAGACTCTGTGTGTTTCTTTTAAGAGACAGTTCAATCCATTAGTCCATTTATTGATTGGTTGTTTTGGGGTATTTAATAATGGCAATTCTTTGCATTTTTTAAATGTTAAGACCCCAGTGTTGTTGTTTGGTTGGCCTGCCTTCTGGTACTCAGGTGGAAGGGTGTCCAGGAAACCCACCACTCCAAGTCCAAGAATGTGAGTCATGGCTCTGAGAGCTGGGAAGGTATTTATGGCTCTGAGGTGGGATAGTGATCCCAGGGTATCTTGAGACTCTGGAGCCAAGGAACCCAACAGCTCAGGGGTGGGATTGTCTCTCATGGGTATCCTAAGCTTGGGAAACTAGGAACCACATAATTCTGGGGTGAGATTGGGTCTCACAGGCATCCTGAGCCATGGGAGCCCAAGAACCACATAATCCTGGGAAGGGGTAGTGTCCTACTGGTATCCTGAGACACAGGAATCCAGGAACCACACAGCTCAGAGAGTACACCTTCTCAACGGTGATGTTGCGTAGCCTGGGAGTGTTGCCCCAACCTTTGATAAACTGTGGAAGTTAAGGGCCTGAGCTCTGCTCCTTCTGAATGTTGTCTGTGTGTTGCTGGAGCTTTCTCAGGCAGAGGTCTGGCCACTTCTCTGCCCTCATGACTTATAAAAGCTACAAAGAGTCCACAATTTAGAAAGCGTCCACCATGAAACTGAAAGCCATGCCTTCCTGGGCAGCACAGCAGTCTCTGCTGGAACCTCTTCCAGAGCAACACAGACTGAGCTATGGACAGGCCCACAGACAGGATGTGCTCCTCAAGCTCAGAGAGATAAAGGACTGCCTGTGAGAAGATGGAGCATCCAAATGGGGAGAAGGTGACCCTTCCCCCTTCATAGACTGCCCAGGTTACTTGTTGTCCCTGGAGTCAGAAAGTAGAGAACCCTTCCCTCCCCTTACCCCCCGAATATCACATCTAGACTTGTAGCAATATTTTCCTGATCCTCCTCTCCCAAATACAATCTTGAGCCCTCTGATCAAGTTCTGGACTCTGGGTTACCTGTCAGTGAAACAGACATATCTCCTCATGAACTGAAATGTAAAGAAGAGCCTTAATGGATCCCGGTGTGTGTGGAGGGCCATGCCTCTGGTCACACTCATGCTCAGAGAGTTCTGTCAGTGTCTGGACCTGAGAGTTAGCCCTAGAGGACCCAGCTCTCTCTCCTGGCTTGGCCAAGACCCACAGGCTGTGGTGGGCAAGAGCATCAATGCTTCCTTCCTGTGCCATATTTACCAGAGGGTACCAGGCCCAGGGCTGGAGAAGGAGTCACCTCAGGCCTCTTGAGTTTCTGGTTTGCATCTAGCCTCCTGTAGCTGACTCCTCTGACTCCTACTTCCCCAGCTAAAAATGTGAATGTGAATCCCAACGCAACATTCCGTGCTGGGTCAACAGGAGGCGCTGCTCTCGTTTGTTGCAAAATTCTAGAGTGCACAATGTCCACCTGGTACTGCTTGCTGCTCCATCTCTCCTGATCTAAACCCAGGCTTCTAGCAAAGAGTGCATATCCCTCCCAACACCAAAAAAAGTGAAGCATTAAAGGAAGGAGGTCTCCACGTGCCCCTCCCCCAACATACACACATGTGAGGCCTTCTCTCTGCTCTGATGAAAGGCATTCTGAGCCTGCTATGGTCTGAAGATCCCCTACTCAGAACACCTGCCTAAGAGCTAGGCCTCTTAGAGATGTTTTCCTCAGAGTCCTGAGACTCCATCTTGCCTGGGAAGGAATTCTGTATATGGATCTTGCTGGGCCCCTAAAACTGAGGGGCCAATGTTGGCCTTCATTGTGTGACCCAGGATCTAGGCAGAGATCATACAATCCTGGGGACATAGTGATGGTTCCTACTGCCTTTGACAGTGCATCCACCTTAGGGTCATGCAAAAAGGTATGCAGGCCTCGTGGGAGCTCCAGATGATCCAACAGCAGAGGGAAGCCTTCATTGCCCCTGCCTAGTTTCTGGATTCAAATCTAGGGATCTTGAAACATTGGGCTGGGGAGAATGTGACACTTCTGCCCCTACCCAGCAGTCTTCTGAGGGACAATGTGTCTGCCATTGTCAGTGGCCCTGGTGGTGAATACTTTTGGCCAGCTTCGTCGTCTTCAAGTTTTTGTTTTGTTTTCTCTTGGTTTGCTTTCTCTTGGTTTGTTTTCTTTGGTTTCCAATCCTTTCAGCCTGCACCACCACCTACCAGGCAGGAGGGGCTGCAAAGAGTTAGAAGGACATCTGCCATAGGAGGCAAGCAGGTTCAGACCTGGTGCTCACACAAGGGAGAGTCTCCCAAGTAAGGCAATAAAGGGATGAAACAGGATTCAGGAAATCCTCTAGGGGTGCTGGAGAGTGAGGAGAGTAAGGCATTCTCCTGGAGAGGCTTCTGTGAGGACAGCCTCACTCCTGTCAGCCACCTGAGCTGCTGCAAGGACAGAGGGCCCACAGCACAGGGGGAACATGAAGTTGGAGCTCAGCTGCAAGAAGGATCCCAGGCAGCTGGAGGAGCAGAGTTTGGGTGTCCTGAGGATCATTGGATAGTTCCTGTACATTCTGCGACCCCTGCTGGTTTGGTAACAACCTTCCAGAGAAGTCGAGAAAGGAGCTTCAGCTGAGAGGAGAGAAGGCAAGAATCCCCCACAAGGGATTCAGGCTTGTCATCTGCGAAGTCACGAACCTGCAGAAAATGCAGCAGGGCTCACAGATCATCGCCCTTTTCCCTTTGCCTCAGTGCAGGGGATTGGACCTGGAGCTCCAAGCACACTAAGCAGCTACAGCTCTGGCCACAGCCATAAATCTAAGAGAGTCTCAAATGGATGCCACTGCTACATCTCCTTAGTTCTAAGATACCATCATCATGTCGAAATGATTGTCAGATTATCAGGGCTTCTGCAAGGTCATCGTTAAAGACAGCCATTGCTCAATGATATCCTTTGTTTAACTACATAAACGTATTAAATGGAAATTGTATGCATGGTTCTAAGTATACCCACAGCAATCACGACATGAAGGCCCACTTCATGGGTCACTATCCCTCCAGCCCTTCCCCCTAGATGCTGGGAAATCTAAGCTGACATGTCATGCGTGACAGTTAGGAGCTGTGCCACTGAGTCACCCTCAACAACTCATAAAAGGGTGTTATCTGACACAGACATGCTCAATGATTTCATATTCTTGTTTAAGGACATTTATTTAGAAGCAGGTCTCCATGTGTCCCCGGCTGGCCTTAAACTTTCTATGGGCTTCAAGATGACCTTGTTCTTCCCACTGAGAGCCTGTATTACAGGCTTGTACCTCCATCATGGCCTGTGTGGTGCACACAATGGGACACAATGGCTTCCTGTGTGCTACGAAAGGACTCCGAGGTACACCCTGGCGATGGAGTGTGGGTGTTCTTGAGTGTTTCTATGTGCCCACGAACCCCTCTAACTCTCCCTTCATCCTGTTGAGAATTGCAACAAAGTATCTTTTTATCTCAATCATCTTCCCCATAGTTCCTCATCTCTGGAAACAGTGAACACCTCACATTTAATAAGTAGTGGTAGCTGGCAGTAAAGGTGCGTCCCCTTAAATCCTACCACTTGAGAGGGGAGGCAGGACGATCAGGCGATCAAGGCCTTCTTCAGCCACACAGTAGGCTGCTGGCTAGCCTGGACATCCTTCTTGAACAAAACAGAAAAGATAACCAGGTGTAGCCACTCTGCCAGTCAGTATGGAGAACACTCAAAAAGC